TTGACTGACAGCGAGCGAGATAACATAGGCGCAGCAATGACGCAGACCTAGGCGTAGGACCATCTATACTGACACTTGTAGAATCCAAACTGGCTGACACTTGTAGAGACATTACTGTATTATGAAATTAAATTAATCACTCAATAAGTATTATAAGTAAATGTTGTTCAAATTATGTCGTGTTTGATGTCATTTTCATCAGAAAAATCTCATCATATGTTAAGAAAAATTTCGGGATAAAAAAACGTAAAATTAAAAAAGTTGGTATTTAAATCGCTTGGTTGCCTCGACTCACGTTTCATCCTTATCTTTTATTCGCTGTCCTTGTCTACGTTCGGCAAACTACAAAGGCGGGCGCGAGGCTCGAAAACGTAGTCCCTGACTCTACAAGTGTCAGGTTTAACTTCCTTGTGGACTGACACTTGTGGAGAATTTACTGTATTCAGGTGGTCTGTTTAGGTGCCTTATATTGTATACACACATTTCTTATTTCTAAAATTGATGCACGGTGCGTTGCGCAATTGGGACGGGTTAGTGGTCTGTTTAGGTGCCTTATACTGTATACACACATTTCTTATTTCTAAAATTGATGCACGGTGCGTTGCGCAATTGGGACGGGTTATACATATTTTGAATTTGGTAGGAGACAGAAAAAAACTGTTGAGGGAAAAGTTGAATGGTATAGTAATGTCTAGTTTTCTACGACTTCACTTTCTTCATAAGTGTAACGATGCACTCTAAAAATACAAATGCATTTATTTCTTCAATGGAATTGCATTTTTTTTTTTACTCGTACCAACTCCTCGGAACATTCTGCGTGAAAAAGTATTAGGGTACAATGTTTAAAAAATCAATATTTCGTGAGATATCTCACATTTTTGATAAACTATCCGTAAAGGTGTCTTAAATACGCCTATCCGTAAAGGTGACTTAAATACGCTTCATTTTAAGAATTTTAATAAACAAGTCTATACAGTAGTTACAATTGATTTAAAACGAAACAATGACCAAACATAAGTTAATATACATTATAAATATATACACATAGCTTTTAAACTGGCATAAAAAAAAAAGACTAAAGGTGAAAGGAAGATATTCATAAAACTTGTTTTTAATCTTATATCTACATATGTGTATAAATTTTATAAGATCAATTTAAACTCTCACTCAAATATTTCTAATAAAACTGAATAAAATACACAATTCTTTGTTATCGTTATGACAATTATCATTGAATTCAATATATAATATTTTGAAATTATTGAAAGATTAACATTAAATAACGTTTATAAGAACAAAGGCAAAAGATTATACAGTATCTGCATTATATGTATATGTAACCGTGATTGTGTATTAAAAATCGTACTACTTATAGGTAGATTTCTTCTGGATCAATAGAGATCAACGATCTTTCGAATGGTTTGTGAACTTACTGTCTCAATTGGAAATGGAGCAAGCAGAACTTGGCGTTGCCATGGAACGTTTCCTTGAGATGCACATGTATATCACCAGTGCTTTGCAAAAAAATGATATGAAAGCTGTTAGTTTGCAGCTAGCTATGGACTTGGTTCATCAAATGGTTCGCATTCAACAAATTTCTATCTTTTCCTACAAAGAATTCTCTCGACAAATAATGTTACTGAAAGCATTCAAATTTCGTCGAACTTTCAATCCATATTAAACAAAAAAAAAAGATAGTTATAAAAAATCTAGATATATAAAAAAGGAAAGTTAACTAATCAAAATAATAAAATAATACCAAGAACCTTTTAGCAATTTTTTTTTTCACTCACATATTTAGTGTTATTCTTTTCACTGAGAAAGTTTAATTCTAAAAACATAGCAATTCTGCCTTGAATACTTGATACTTTGAACTTCTTTTACATTCAACATATTCACAGCCAGCAGTTCTAGTCGGCAATCTGTAGTTAGATGCTGTATCTTTACCGTTCAAAAAGCAATGCAAGTTATAAAAGTTGCTTTAAAACAACATTTTAGTAATTGCATGTTACTTAAAGTTGAACAAATTTACTCATTACAAATCTAAATGAAGAAAATGCCAAATTTATATAAAAAATATTAATGTGTAAAAAGATTAATCAAATAACTTTATAGAAAACACATAAAATTTGTCGATCAAAAAATAACTTTCTTTACCTAATAATAGTTTATTTCTGTTAACTGACATAAACCATCGAATATATTATGAAATTTCATTTTTCTCTATCAAGAAAATTTTTATTTCTCACTTTTAATCTCTTCAAGACAATAATTTATAGAAAATTAATTGTTACAAGTGTATTTAGATATTTTATACAAATAATTAACGTGTAACTACTCTTTAACGACCGAAAGTATTGATTAATCAAAAAATGTTCCGTTAGCATCGTGATCGTGATAAAATGCGTATAAAGCCCTTACATTATAATTTATAAAATTTACATTGTATTCTTAAAATGCATTCGAATAATGAAGTGTTAAGTATTTGTATAATTTACAATGTCATGTTAACGTGTATACAATTTTTTACAATTACTCTTCACTTTACATAGCTGTATGTATACGGAACTATTCAGCAAAAAAATTAAAACAAACAAACTAATGATTTTACAACGAAGAATGAAATGAATCCGTGCAAATAAAATTATTTAATATTTCAGGAAAAACGGGATCTTATAACGGGTTTAAAAACAAGAACAAACGCCGGCCGACCGAACTGGGATAAAGTGTTCAAACAGCTTCAGGACCAAAAAAAAGGCAAAGTGACGGTCTTTTACTGTGGTCCACCGCAACTAGCAAAAATTTTGCGTTACAAATGTGATCAATTTGGTTTCAACTTCAGGAAGGAATGTTTCTAAATTTAATAAGAAAAGAAATTGTACCGCCATCTTGTTTCATTATGTTCTATTCTTACGAGATATTTTTATACATTCATACGTTGTTATTTAACACAAATTAAGAGGAACGACAGATATGGTAATTAAGTGATATTAACTTTTCCTTGCATAGAACTGGGATGATTTCTTTAATAATGTCATCAGAATGTAAGAATTTTATTTCATGTTATTCATAATCCTCGCCGTTTCATACATTGATCAATTGTTATTAATACAAGAAGAAAATTCATTTGTCGTTCTGTCATAATTGGAAAATTTATCGAAATCCTATTCAGAAACTTAATGACAGTTAACAAATTACTTTTTCATATTCGTATTTATTATTAATCATTCGACTGATTTCAGATGTGTAGTAACTTCACATAGTATCTATAATGCCTGAACTTCCTAACTATTCAGATCAGATAAAGTATGCAAGATTTCTTTTTCTTGTAAATAATTTCATTCAGAAGCAAATAATATTTTGTTTATGCCTGTATTTTGCGAATTACTTTCTAAACTTACCCAATATTACCCAACTTATCCAATATTTACGATCTTAAAAATTGTCCTGTGATTCTGGTCTCCTACTTTTTAATGCGTATTAAAGAATATTTATTTCGTGAAATGTTTTATTCGATACTAAAATTTAAAAATGGCAAAGAAAATACATTATGGTAAGTATTAAATTCGTTCCAATATCTGTTAAAAAATTAGTAACAGAAAAAGTTAAAAACATGCAAAAATATTAGATCGTGAAATAAATTGAAAAGTATTATAGAAAAAATGTATAAAAACTTCAACTAACTTGATTGGAATTAAAATAAACAAAAGGTCAAGGTTTCAAACCATACAATATATTTAAAAATAAATCAAGAGTAAGTACTTACTTATACAATTAATACAAATTACCAATGAAAGTAAAAAACCCTTTTTTTGTTATTATTAAATATTAAAAGAACTACTTACCACGCATAGCAAATGATTTATTATAGTTCACTATATAGAGTATATTTCAACGTAAAGGATTTTAGTTTTACAAATTATGTATTCTACGTGTTATTTTGATATCTCTCTTACAACTCTGTTGCTAGCAATTATAAACTAGCAAGAAGCATTACAAAAATAATACTGAGAAAAGTAGTACTGTAAATCTATTTAATATTTATCCGAAAATAAAGTGCAACTTTTTCAGTTAAAAACTTGTGTGTAAATCTTGTTGAAAAGACATTTCAAACATAATTAAGTTATTATGTTCACTATATGTATACACCCATCCCTCCATTTACGTGGTAAATTATACTTCTATTTACGTGGTACTTTTTAAACGCGATCTCTATACGCGTTTTCTATAAATTTTCACTGAATTTATTACATATCAGAGAGACGCAAATTCTTACTTGAACGTACTAATTACATAACTCTGACTGTTGAAGCTTGCGGTTGATCTTTCGATCGTTCAAGCTTTGCCGGTTTTTGCACGTGTGTGCCGACTAATGGTCTAAGGCTTCGAAGGACCAGTTTCTTGATTGAAACACTAAGTTTTTATTTTATGTTCTATTTTCTACAACTAATTCAAGATATAAATTCTATTGCGAAGTGAGAGATGTTTCACTTGCGAGTGGCCAAGTGATTCTCCCGCGAGTTGCAAAGTGTTTCTCCCGCGAGTTGCTAAATGTTTCTGCTGGAGTCTCTGCGGTTTCCCTCGACGAAGACTCCTATTTTCCTAAAAACACCCTGATTGGTGATTTTTCCTTTTCTAAATCACCAATCAGTTTACTCCGGT